TTTCTGTTTAGTTTATTTGGTCAAAATCTCAATTTTTTCAGCCAAATGCCAAAAAAGTGCACGTTCCTGATCAAGTACACGGCTGAGGGGTCATACATAAGTACTACCCAGAAGGTAATTTCAGGAGATAAAATCTCATCAAAAAGGCCTTTCCTTCATTTTTTGTATGGAGTGGCACAAATTGATGGGCTTCTGCTTTCGCTACTAACAATTGAGCTTTCAGAATGGCTTTTGCGGGAAGTCTGCTGAAGAAGTTCTTTTAAAGTTTTTCTTTATTCATAAAAATCATACTTTTATAAGAAATTTATTTAAGGCTCATATCAAATAGTTTTATTTAGACTTAAAATGCCTATTCAATCTTATTTGTAATGCTAAGGAATATAAACATTTACTTAAGTACATTCGCGTAAATTGTAAATAGGAAACACCTTTCTAGGAAGCATGCATGGAAGCACTTTTTTCAGTCCTTGTTGGGTAAGCCTTTTAGAATGGCTTCACTTAAGACAGCCTACCTAAATTATCTTCAGGTTATGCATTTACAAAATGGCAAAAATTGATCATCCGTCACGAGAAATTTGCTCTTTTATGATTAAAAAATTCGGAACTTGAACATTTCATTACCATCAATCATTCAGCTCTACGGATTGTGCCACAAAATTACATTGCTTATAATATCAGAACCAAAGCAACTGTACTTATAGGAAATATGTTGGCACCATATTTACTTGTATCCTCGTTTTTGATTTGGATGATTAGTGTCCTGGTCGAAGGGCTAAGGATTATGGCAGCCCTAATATAAGGGCCAATCTACTATTATTATTATAAGCGAAATAATGGCAGTGGGACAATTTGACCAGTTTCGCCTATTCTTTTCATTGATTATTTTTTTATTGATTTTATATAAATGTCTAATTCATAATTTAATAAACGCAATATATGTACACAAATCGGCATCTCAAACTTTGTATAAAATTTATAAAAAAATTAACAGGTTTTCGGAACAACAAACTTTGAGTACAGAATTTTTAGGATTCCTAATTTTCGATTTTATGTATTTTTTCCGTATAAAGTGTGTTCAAACATTTTTTAAATGGGTGAAATGTATGACACCATCAGAAAAAAAACATCAAAAATCATCGGGATATTGCAGAAACTTACACTTTTATTTAATGGATTATAAAACCGCAAACTTAGAATCAGTTTAAAAATTGTGAATTAAAAGCTTGTTGTTGCGAAAACTTACTTTTCGTACTGCGTATTCACAATAGAGTTCAGCGGTTTGTAAATATTTCACACGGCCCTTATTTTAATTTTTAGTGCTTTTAATTTTCACTTTCCATAATGTGGTATGTGATTTTTTGTTATACATATATTGGCATTTTATGCTAAATTTCTATATTTTATGGTTGTGCCAAAACAGGATGAGATGTGCCAAAAGAGCCTCTAAGAGTGAAAGTGCCAAAAATGGCACTATTGTGCCTACTTTTCACTGGCTGGCGCCTTCCGAGTTCCGGAAGCTATATCGTGTGGACCCAGAGATTGCAATGGAGCTCGTCCAACGGCTGGAAATCCAATTGAAATGTAAAAGGATTACCTCAATATCGGCGGAAAAACACGTTAATCTTTAAATAATGAAAGCATGCAATTTTGGATATGTAGTATGTATACAATAATTTCTCGGGTATGGTTTAGTTATTTGTACAATGATGCCCAAACGCGTGACTCGAATCTAAAAAGTTTAACATCAAATTTCCAAACACTAGTTTATCAATAAATTCGGTTTTGATTATGATCTTTTTTTAAGTTTCGATGTGGCTTCTATGTCGAAATGCTAATGGGATAAACTCATTTTCAAATGGGCCCCCGGTAGTCTGTAGAGAGGTCAGAGAGGGGAGGGAGGACTTTCCTTAAAGTTTTGACTGTGCTCTTTCTAACGGGTATGGTTTTACACCACAAAATCATTGTACAAATAACTAAGCATTTCTCAAATAATCTTTTATCTTTGAAGGTTTTGTGTACATTACGCTTCTATGCCACAGGATGCAGTGGGGCATATCAATCTCTATAAGCCGTTGTATACATCGCATAACTGATGACATAAACAGTATACTATTTTTTGAGGAGGTTAAGTTCCCTATGACGCAGGTGGACTGTCAAGCTGCCAAGGAAATGTTTGCTTCAGCACCTGCGCCTTTCGTTGGAGGAACTATTGGAGCGGTAGACTGCATGCATGTTTCTATTTTGGGTCCTAAAACTCATGAGGAAGCATACGTGAACCATCACTCGATAAATGTTCAAATGGTGAGCTAAGTATTTTAAATAAAAATCGAGCGATAAATATTTGTTATGCTTTTATAGATATGTGACCCAAATTTAAACATACTGAACGTCAATGCTAGGTTTCCGGGAGCACGGCATGACTCTTATATTTGGAGTTCTTGTCCAGTGCAGCGAGTCATGCAGGGAGCTTTTGAAAATGGAAACCGCAGCATGCTTTTTATTGGTATTCTTTTTAACTTACTTTAAAATGTACATAATTTAAAATTAAGTTCCTTTCAGGCGATTCTGGATACCCCTCAGAGTCATGGCTCATGACGCCTTTACCGAACCAACCTGAGCGTACCCCTAAGTTTCGGTACAACGAGGCGCTATGCAAATCTCGAAATCCAGTAGAGAGACTATTTGGAGTGCTTAAAGGAACTTTGCGATGTTTATCACAACAACGAGTGTTACTATACGATCCTGGTTTTGCTGGTAAGGTTATAATGCGTGCTCAACCTTGCGTAATATCCGTTTGCGCGAGCAAACAAATGAACTCGACAATAATATAATATTAGAAGCAGACACACATGCACATGCAGACGGTACCGACTATAATTCAAATTCGGTATCTTCCATTGGAAAACGTATCCAAGACCAATTAATTACAAATTTTTTGTTCCCAATACTTAATTTTTTTAGGGCAATTCATCTAAAATTATAAACGCGTCGCAACCACGTAAACTTAATTAATTTTGTATCGTAAACCGGCTTATTTACAAGTTACGGGGCATTTATGCTTTTATTTATTTATATATTTAATCAAATGAAATAAAATCATTACTGACTATAAAACAAACAGCTTAAACACTACCTAAAATAAATAAGTGGGACAAAACGAACTGTTCCAAATGAGAGAGGCGGATCATATTCAGAGAGCTCATTTAGCTTAGAAAGGGTTTTGAACAAAGGCGAGAATTTTACATAGTTAGTTTCTGGAAATCCCAGGTAAAATATAGAAACACGACGGAGATTATGAGACGGAACGTTTAATGCGGACTTATCCAAAAGATTAGGACAATCGACTGTGCCCTCCAATATTTTGGCCACAAAAGAGGCTGCAAGGAAAGAACGCCTAGTATTTAACGAACTTAAATTAAGATGAATACCCATTTTATTTTAAATTTACATGTTCATCTACACACATCATTCACACTAGTTTTGTCTTCTAAATACTTAAAGTTTTTTCTTTTAAATGTACATACAATCACTCACAGAAGTTTTCGTAATATCGTTTTTCATAATATCCAAAATATTTGCAATCTTGAACTAGTTTCGCAAATTTGTATTTAAAATACAGCTCATTCTATAACAAAAACCTTGGAAATCAATCTTGTAAACTTTGTACAATGTTCACAAAAATTTATCAAACTTAAAAAAACGTTCATCAAATTTTCAAACTCTTTATTCAGAATCTTTAGAAAATTTTCGAGTATGTAGTTTTGTAGCCCATTCAATTTCAGTAGGACTAAATTCAAGTTTGAAGTCACTACAAAATACCGTTGATATTCGAGATTTTTTTCATTCGTTACAGGAAGAAAATGCTGAACACCCTCTACAAAAAATCTCAAATATTAACAGTATTTTTTAGCGACTTCAAACTTGAATTTTATCCTACTGAAATTGAATGGGCTAAAAAACAGCATATTCGAAAATTTTCTAAAGATTCTGAATAAAGAGTTTGAAATTTTGATGAACGTTTTTTGAGTTTGATAAATTTTTGTGTTATAGAATGAGCTGTATTTTGAATACAAATTTACGAAAATAGTTCAAGATTGAAAACATTGGGAATATTATGAAAAACTATATTACGAATACTTCTGTGAGTGACTGTATACACTATAACCGTATTAAGCAAAAATTAAAATATATTTGAAAACTTTATAATTTTATATAACTCCTAAAAATCAGTTCGAAGCTATTTTATTTTTTATCAAAGAATAGTAGGTGGTCTTTCAATAACGACCGAAGACAAAATAGTGTATGTAAAAAAATTTAGCAAGTTAAAACTTTTTTGGTAATTAATTATGAAATTGGTTATTGCAAAAACACGATTTTTATAAGAAGTTAATGAAAAAGTTGTAGCTTCATAAATTTTGTTACATACAGTATTTTGTCATCGGTCGTTATTGACTGTCCAACTACTGATAAAAAATATAATAGCTTCGAAGTGCTTTTTAGAAGAATTTATTTTTAAGTTGAATAACAGTTTAAATTGAATACTAGTTTTTATGTGTAGTTTATAGTATTTCACTTAAGTTCGGCTTTTAGAAAATAAATGAATAGAAAAAAGTATTAAATGCAACGAAATGTTCAAAATTTTAATTTAAAAGGCGATGTGTAAATAAGGTAAATAAATTTAATTTTCATAACAACTATTCATAACAAAAACATTTCAACTTTATTTCATAAAATATATATTTTTAAAACACTAGAGATATATCTAGAGTCAGGTACAAAACAAGGTACAAAATAATTAATTTAAAACATAAAAGGAAAAAATTAGTAATTCATTTTGAAAATTAAAAGAAAAACTATAAACTTAACTCTTGTATGATATGTTGCTTGCTTACCTTATCGGCTGCGTCGATTTCGCTGTGGAACTGGGTACGTTTGCTGTTATGCACTCGCTAGCTCGTCGGAGTTGGGTGGGTTGCTTTGCCCACAAATTCGCACACTGCATCAACTATAGAAAAAAAAGTCGTACCCGCTCTGTGAACCACTGACTGTGATCATACCACCCTTATTGCACTTGCCAGACCTTAAGCATGGCTGAAATCCCCAACCCTACTCGTCTGCCCCCGCTCCGTCCACTGTCGATCCCCCCCACGGACCGCCCCCTTCGTACAGGTCTCGGTATGCCTCCAAGTGAATGAGGCCGGCCAATCCGTCCCTTCACAACCGTTACTAGCCCTGGCCCTTGTGGCTAGCCCCAACTGCACCCTCACCCCTTTATCCGAGTTTCCCGCTTAACTCAATTCCCCTCATCCCGTCCGCCCGTCTAAGGTTTCACCAAGAAATTCATTCACCACACACATCACTCCAATTTAGCAATCCATTTTGTTTAGTACATTGATGCTCATATATGGTTACACGGAATAAGTCAGGCTGCGGGATCTTGATGTCACTAATGCTAAGTTAAACGAGAACCTCCGAATCTGCTACCTAAGACGGCTTGGTATGGGACTCACAAGCTTGCGAACCAAAGGCTGGCCCTTGCATTAAACCGATAGGCCCTTCCTACGCCCTTCTTACTCGTTGCACAAATCGCTATACCAACTAATTTCCTTAACCTTACGCATTCTCTTACATATCTACAATTCATAGAATTCTTTACAAAAGTATTAATTTATTGATCTTGGAATGTGTGTACCGCGAGTTATTTCACAAATTCTCACGCAAAAGACTATTTCTTAAAACTATTGTACGTGGATGCAACTATGTATGTCTCTACTTTACGCCCAATGCTTAGAAAGGCTTTCGTTTGAGAATCAAAATAATAGGAGCGTTCCTTATCTCCCAGAAATAGTCAGAAAAAGTCCGAAATGACAGCAAAAATGAGAGAGCAACACTCAGTGAGAGTGACTCTCATCAGTCCGAAGTAGTCAGATTTCGTCAGAAGAATTTTTTCTAGCAAAATCCTGAAAAGTGTCAAACTCAACTGAATTTCAATTAACGGAAATTAAAGAATACACAAAAAGTGAGAATAATCTAAAAAGTGAATTGAAATTGGAAGGAGGCAAAAAATAATTGATATAGTAAGTGTTTATTGTGCTTGTGCTTGTGAGAATGTGTTTCGTACATACATTTCCATTATTATTTGACGTTAGCTTTGTTGTTGCCATTCTTTGGACTAAAAATTTGGTTTTTTGCGTTCCTTTACTTTTCCTGTTATTCTCTTTTAGTGAGCGCATTTTGCTTATGCTCTGGCATTTTGACACTTTTCAGATTTTAGTCCAAAAAGATAAGGAATAAACCTAATATACTGCACCCCGCTTTGCTTCAGCTCGATTACATCATAACTACCCACGGTCTTAAGCTAGCAACGATATCTGTATGCTTAAATGCAATTCGCCCACGCAGGCCTTTAACCTTGAGAGGGGTTATACACACACACGTATAGTGTTTTACTTCGCTGATATGAATATACAGAAATCTGGCGGATGCACCCGCTATGAGTATGGGAACCGCTCTAGATTTAACTGCATCGACATCTACAATACATACGTGTAGAAGGTCAAATTTTCTGGAAACCTGGCTTCGATGGAATATCACCAAGATGCGACGCATTCCACCGCTGTCCAATGCACCACTAAGACTGCGCAGCTTCTTTTCGCCAACTCCACAACCAAAGAAAAATAAACTTGTCCAGAATTAACTGGGATGCGTTGCGACAGATATACCTCCGGCACTGGCTTACTTTAGTGCATCGTCCAATCCACGTGTTTGCTTACCCTCCTTCTTGTTTGCTGGGTGTTTTCCGAATAAGAATTTTTTCCTCTGCTTTCTTCGTCAAAAAAGGAAAACAAGTTACAAAGTACATTTAGTGCGATCTCCCAACAGCGAGCTTTTTGACATGTACGCAAACTGCGTTCGCAACATGTTGTAATCGCTATTACTAATAAGCGGTGCGGACACATTGTCTGCGTCAAGCGCTTTAGCGACCGTAACAGATATGTACACTAAAAAAAAAGTCTGCATACACCATTCATTTTTTAAATATTCACAATATTTTGCAAGCTAAAATTCGTTTGTTATTTTTTTTCATAAAAATATGGATCATGCTTAAAACAAAATCATACAAAGCAAGGTTTCAAGTTTTATACAAAATTAAGGGAAATTCAATGATTTTTAATCAACGGTTTACGGTTTATGTAAAACATATCTAATAATAATTACTTCTCACCTTCAAAACATCCGTTTGCCTGGAATTGTTTTCGATCACCATATATTGATAAAAAGTATATTGTTACTGATTAAAACACGCAAGTTGACAATTTACCAATACAGGCTTTATTCATCCGCTTATCTGTGCACAAGAAGAAGCTAAAAAGAGTTTTCGTCGCCTTTTATAGAAAATTTCAGGAATTTAAAGTACCGTACAATGATTCTTAACGAAACAAACAAATGTAATCACAAAACAGAAATGAATGACAAGAACGAGAACAGTATTGCCAGACGATTACGAAATGACAGAAAATAAACTTAACTAAGAGGTTACAGCTTCAACATCCTGCCCGGTCGAGTCGGTTGACTCGAAATCCTCAGGCTCCAGTAAGAGGCACAGCTTCTGAACAGCTCGAGTCATGCATCCGCCGGAAGTTCTTAATGTGACATTGCGAACCGCCCCGTCAGCCCCAGGATGTACAGCCACGACGCGACCCATGCGCCAGTGAGTCGGAGGCAAGTTCTCATGCTTGACGAGTACGATATCATTGACCCTTATGTTAGTGGTGCGCCGATGCCATTTGTGGCGCCTCTGCAGAGTGGTCAGATACTCCTCACTCCACCGCTGCCAAAACACTTGTTGAACCTGCCGTACCCATTGCCATTGTTTCAGTCGGTTGTTTGGAATATGTTGAATGTCTGCCTCCGGGACTGCTATCAGCGGAGCCCCAATCAGGAAATCACCAGGCGACAGCGCGAACTTCTCTTCCGGGTCTTCGTACAGGGGGGTAATTGGGCGTGAGTTCAGGCATGCTTCTATCCGGGTAGCCAATGTCTGCCATTGTCTATGCCACATGATTTGCGAACCCACACAGCGGACCAAGTGATGCTTTGCCGACTTAACAGCCGCCTCCCATAGCCCACCTTGATGCGGCGCACTAGGTGTAATGAAGTGCCAATTGGTACCCGAGTCTGCTAACCATCGCTGGTTGTTTTCACTATGCCATGCGGCTAGGTCTTCGCGTAAGAGTCTGTTAGCACCAACAAAGGCAGTGCCATTATCACTGTATAGGTCGCGGCAGGGACCTCGTCGGCAGACGAAACGGGTGAAGGCGTCGAGGAACGCTTGTGCGGATAGATCATCCACTACTTCGATGTGCACGGCCTTGGTGACCATGCATACGAAGATGGCTAGGTACGTCTTGATGACCGTGCGAGAGCGCTTCGTGCCGACCCGCAGTGTAAAAGGGCCACAGTAGTCTACCCCAGATGACACAAACGGCCTCGCGGGTTTGATCCTCTGCCCGGGTAGTGGAGCCATTTGCTACTTGAACACCTCTCCCTTATGACGGCGGCATAATACGCACTTGTGGATAAAACTCTTGACCGCCTGCCTGGCATTCAGGATCCAAAACCGGCGACGGAGGGTATGTAGCATGAGTTGCGTTCCTCCATGTAGCGTTGCCTCATGGGCCTGACGTATTAAAGGCTGCAACAAGGGAGTCGACTTCGGCAATATGATCGGGAATCGCTGGTCATGTTCCAGGTCGGCCTTATGTATTCCCCTCCGACCCGAAGGATGTGGTTCTCATCTAAAAATGGATTCAATGAGAGTATTCTAGTGCAGGAGGACAAACCTGAACGGGACTTCAACTGCCTAATCTCAGCGGCAAAGTGTTCCCCTTGCTCTCGACGGATAAGCGTGTACAGGGCGTCATCTAGTTCCTGGGCGCTGACCACAGGTTGACGAAAGTGCCGACGCCCTTTCAACCAGCGCAGCATGATGGCCACTGTATCCAGCAGGCGTTGAATTGAACTAAAACGGGTGGTCAATAACATAATGTGTCCATCTGGGCGACGGGTATTCAAAGGCTGCGCGAGGAGTACCATTGACTGACATATACTTCGCCTTTCGGCAAGGAGCTCAACCGACTCGTCCTGGCTAAGAGGGATCTCGGGCTGGTTTGAGGGAGCGCTGCCTAGCTCATCAGGTCCATGCCACCAAAGCGGGTGAACTAAGAGTTCTTCGGGTGTAATGCCTCTGCTGGCACAATAAGCAGGGTTCTGTGCTGAACGAACGTGGTACCATCGGTCGGGGGAAGTCAGTTCCCCCCGAACCCGGTTGGATATGAACGGCTTAAGTGTTGTTGGATGCTTCTTCAACCAGCACAAAACGATCGCCGAGTCCGACCACAAATAGTATGGAGCATCCATTAAGCCCAGTGAGTCCCGAACATTCTGAATAGTTTCAGCCAACAGTAGTGCTGCCGACAGTTCCAGGCGGGGTATAGTAGCGCCCTTCAGAGGTGCCACCTTCGTGCGTGCGGTCAGAAGTGAGATGTGTGCAACATCGCCTACGTCGACGGTCTTCGTATAGATAACGGCAGCATATGCTTGTGAGCTGGCATCGCAAAAGCCGTGCAACGTTGTCTGAACACGTTGAATCATGCCCATCCAACGGTCGATGCGGATCTTATTGAGCCCCTCCAGCTTGGAGCGGTACTCGAGCCATCCGTTGCGAAGATCGTCAGGTAGTGGTGAGTCCCACGATAGCCCCGCAGCCCACATCCTCTGGATGAACAGCTTTCCAGTTACAACGACAGGTGATAATAACCCAGCGGGATCAAAGAGACGCGCCACCTCGCTAAGTACTCGCCTCTTCGTGGGAGCCTCGGATGATTGGTCTAGGTCGACTTGGAAAAATAGCTGATCCGTCACTGCGTCCCATCTTAGGCCTAAGACGGAAGCCACACCAGAATGGAAGGTATAACTGGAAAGAGACGATTCATTAGATAAGTAGCTCATCACCTGGCCATCGTTGGAGTTCCATTTTCTTAGCGTAAATTTGGCCGCGTTTCTAGCCAGTTCCACTGCATCGGTAGCGCTCTCACAACTGGTGAGGAAATCATCGACGTAAAACGAGGTTAGAATTGCATCTCGAGCGAGGACCGCCTGCCGCCTATCCGGAACCGAACCGTAATTATCATAAGCGCATTGCTGCAACGTGCGCACTGCGTTATATGGACTGCATGCCATGCCATATGTAATGGTCTTCAATCGATATATGCCAATGTCGTCGGCCGGGGACTCGCGCCAAATAATCCTCTGATAGTCTCGATGCTCCGGCGCAACCAACACTTGCCTAAACATTTTCTCGATGTCGGCAGTTATCGCCACTCGAAAACGTCGGAAACGAAGAAGTATGCTGCTAAGCGAGTCCTGAAGCGCTGGGCCCACCAGTTGAATATCGTTTAAGGAGACTCCCGTGCTGGTCGGCGCCGAAGCATTGAACACCACGCGGAATTAGGTGGTAACCGCATGGTGAGGAATATAGTAGCAATTGCTATGGGGATACGATGGTTCGACTCGCTCCATATGTCCGAGTGCTTCGTACTCCCGCATGAATGCCACATAGTTTTCCCTAAGGCCGGGATCCACTACCAAGCGACGCTCTAGTCTACCGAATTGGCGTGCAGCCAGTGCATATGAGTCACCAAGTTTGGGTACATTTTGTCGAAGAGCTAGGTGGACAATGTAACGGCCGTCTGCAGTGCGGCTATGAGTAGCTTCGAAGATCTGGGCACAGTCGTCGACGTGTTGATTATCAGCAATCGCAATTTCCTCCATCTCCCAAAACCTGTGTAGCAGTTCTTCTAAACGGACGTCATCCTCACCCGGTAACGCGCTCAGTGCGAGCGATGATACGTTCGAAGTAAAAGACACTGCTGCTGGGCCAAATACCACCCAACCAAAGCGGGTACGCTGGGCAAAAGGTTCGTCTGGTCGTCCACCGATGACATCACCCTCTAGGACTCGCCCCCACACGTCCGCGCCGATGAGAACGTCGATAACTCCAGGCGTCCCAAACCGATCGTCCGCCAACTCTAGCCCTCTCAAGTACGGCCATTGGTTCACGTCAATATTTACCGTCGGAGTCGGAGAAGTAATGGACGGTAAAACCAAGGCCTCAATTTGCATTTCAAATGTAGTTTTCGTTGACCTCAACGTGAGTGTAACGCTGCCCTTCACTTGGGTATTGACGGCAGCCCCTACCCCTTCTACCATCAGGTCACATTTCCGTCGGTATAACTGCAAGGAGTTTGCTAGGCGATCCGTCACGAAGCTAACCTGCGATCCAGGATCGCATAAGATACGAGCCACACGCTGAACCGATGCTTCTCCAAAGGCATATGCACGCGCTGTTGCTAGGAGGGTGATCGGCTGATATCTGTGCGCGTGGGCTGTCGCAGGTGCTGCTAGTCATGCAGCTGAAGTTGTTTGGACCTTACCAGGTGCAGTATTTGATACGGGTGACGTAGACGTGGATTCAGGCGAAGCTATGTTGGTGAACCTCTCGCGGCATAAGATAGTATTGTGCTACGGCCACAATTCCGGCAACTCCCCGATAACGTTGTTCAATATTCATAGCTGACAGCGCTGGACACTTAGCAATTCGATGCGGAGCACCACAGTGCGCACACTGCGCCCGCTCAGCGCTAACCACATGCGACTTCACCGATCGTTGCTGCCGAGGCGCCACTAGAACGGCCGATGGTTCAGGCGATAGACTATGAGCATGCCTTTCCAAAAACTTCAGCAAATCATCCAGCCGTGGAATATCGGTGGTGGTATACTTCATACACCAGTCGCGCTTGGTTACAGGCGGAAGCTTGGACACAACAATAGGCACAGCTAATGCATCCCATTGACTTACAGGGATCTCCATGACCCGCAATGCTCGCAGCGACTCATGCACAGTGTCAACAATGGCCAACAATGCTTGCGATGACTCCTGGGTGGCTACCTTTAAGTTGAGAAAACGCGACACGTGTATTTCTGCCAGATGTTTCTTGTTGTCGTAACGCTCTTTAAGAGCCTTCCATACTTCTTGATAGCCACCCGAATATATCCCTCCAATTAATGGCACTGTGGACGCGTTAACTGCTTGGCGAAGTTTACCCAACTTGAATGCTTCCGGGTACGCCGAGTTGTGGACAAGCGTTTCAAACGCATCTTTGAACGCCAACCATTTACACATATCCCCGTCAAATGGGGGAATAGCCAACGGATCAAGTTTAAGATCCACCGAACAGCCATCCAAAGTCGTAGTAGGCACGTTGCGCGCACCCTCACTGGCGTTGGAATCTACCGTTGACGTCGCAATAAGGCGGTGGAGTGTGCTACATGCCTCACCGTAAAGCTCCTCCACAGTTTCCCATAGCGAATCATGCGTAACCCTTTCTGAGGGTGCCGCTTCTCCAACAAGATGATTATGGTTATCAACGAATCTCCCAAAATGTGTCTCGATCGACTTCAGCTCCTGTTGCAGTTGGAATACATCGCGACCATCATCGCCACCATCTCTCACACGGGCATGTATGCGTTTTATTGCCTTAACAGCAGATGCAAGCAAGTTGAGTTCCGCCATGCCACAAAAACACAAAATAGAAATTTATTTGTCCTCACAGGAGGCACCATAATGTTACTGATTAAAACACGCAAGTTGACAATTTACCAATACAGGCTTTATTCATCCGCTTATCTGTGCACAAGAAGAAGCTAAAAAGAGTTTTCGTCGCCTTTTATAGAAAATTTCAGGAATTTAAAGTACCGTACAATGATTCTTAACGAAACAAACAAATGTAATCACAAAACAGAAATGAATGACAAGAACGAGAACAGTATTGCCAGACGATTACGAAATGACAGAAAATAAACTTAACTAAGAGGTTACAGCTTCAACATATATATTAACACGATGTTTGTAAAATATAATCAGCCCTATCGCCAATTTCATGTGAATGAATTGTTCCCATAATTTGACTTGCAAAACAAAAACAAATTGGGAAAAATTGGTTTTGTTTTGCTTTATAACTTTTTGGAATATTTGTTCACGTGAAAATCGCGATAGGGAAATAAATAGCAAATTATACTTCCCTTTGCTGCAATATGTGGACGCAAATTAGCGGCGCGAAGAAATGGCTTTGTTTTTTTTTTCTGTTCCGCTTTGTGCTTTTCGCAAATTTGACATTTCGAACAGCGGAGATGCCACTTTTTATCAATTTGAATTAATGGAAAAAGTCACCTGTTCAGTGTCGTTAGGAATGAGTTTTTGAATCGAATAATCGTTACTGACAAGGACAAACATCTTTAATTAACAACTCGAGAAATGCATGGTTAAGAGTTACCGAATCGCACTACAGATGCGTTAAAAATTTTGTTTAACTTACTACTGGGTTGCTCATGCGGAGTAGTTCCCCAATAAACACAAAAACGAGGGTGACATAGTATCAAATTCGAGACGAACTCGAGAAAATAAATTTCTCGAATATATCTTTTGGGCTCGTTTCGAATTCGAGGCGAGCTCGAGTAAATCAGTTTTCTCGAAGGATTGTTTTCTTCCATTGTCTTCGAGGCACAATCATGAAAATAATTTAGTAGTGCTCATACACTCAGATAACAGTCACCTAAATAATTTTTCTCAAAACAAGATTTGGTAACTATTACCAAATCATGTGTTGAGAGAAACAGATTTAGCAGAATTTTTTCTGAGTATAAAGGCACCTTTGCGTGGCGTGGGGGATGACATAAATGGCTCTGATACCATTCACTAATGCATATACGAAGGCACCCAGGGTTCTTAAGCGAACAAATTATTAATTTTAACTCCACTTTATTATATTTCAGCTGCATTCTAATTAACATTCAAGGACATTTCGATGAATTTTGTGGATGAAGTATCCAAAAAATTCTTCCAATATAATTCCGACTAAATAAAAACTCAAATTACAAGAAATACGGTGCCGGATAAATCTAATAGATGACGATATGTGTGAAATATAAGTTTTTATTGAAGCCAGATGCGTTAAAAATTTTGTTTAACTTACTACTGGGTTGCTCATGCGGAGTAGTTCCCCAATAAACACAAATCGAGGGCGACGTCGTATCGAATTCGAGACGAACTCGAGAAAATAAATTTCTCGAATATATTTATTGGGCTCGTTTCGAATTCGAGGCGAGCTGGAGTAAATTAGTTTTCTCGACAGATTTTTTTCTTGCATCGTCTTCGAGGCACAATCAAGAAAATAATTTATGAGTGCACTCAGATAAGAGTCACCTAAATAAATTTTTCTCAAAACAAGATTTGGTAACTATTACTAAATCATGTGTTGAGAGAAATATATTTAGCAGAATTTTTTCTGAGTATAAAGGCACCTTTGCTTGGCGAGGGTGATGCCATAAATGGCTCTGATACCATTCACTAATGCGTATACGAAGGCACCCAGGGGTCATAAGCGAACAAATTATTAATTTTTAATCCACTTTATTATATTTCCGCTGCATTCTTATTAACATTCAAGGATATTTCGATGAATTTTGTGGATGAAGTATACAAGAAATTCGCTAACGATAAGTGACTCTCCTACGAATCCGAAATCGCCGATCTATCGCCGCGAAGTATCGTCTCGAGGCGAATTCCTTGTGTTTATTGGGTCTCCTGTGCTCACCAACACAGACACAGTTTAAGGCCAAAATGCTGCTCTCAAGAAAAGCAAAAACTCCATATAAAACGACGTACAAGAAAAGGCTAAGAAGTTTTCTTGTGTCAAATTTCCTTAAGCCAGTACGCAGTTCTTAAAAAATTTGCTACGCTTTCTACTATGGTTTTCTAAAGTTTTTTTTTTTTTGAAAAAAAGCACAAGGCAACCGTTCCATTATTTCTTGAGGAAAGAGTGAGGCAAAAGGCTGTGATGTATCATATGTCAAAATTCCTTGGACACACACACACGAAATAACGGCAAGTTTTTCCTTGACCGCTTTCTTGAGAGCTGCGTACTGGCCTTTAAGTTTTGCCGACCGCTGGATCAGTCCTACCGTTGTGCGAGTATAGTGTCAAATTGGAGATCGATGCCCCTGACACCGACTTTTTAAAAATTTTGCTTATTTTGAAACTTTTCTTAGAAATCGTGCGACTTTTGCCCCTTTTCTTTAATTTAAATTTTTTTTTCATAAATTATATTTTTCTTAAGTGCTTAAAAACGCGTTTAGTATTTACTTTTCAAAGGCACTTAAAAATTGCACTTCTGGCAAGATTTTGACTAATTTAAATTTTTTTTATTATGTCAAATACTTTCTGAAAAAATGTCCAGAAGTAGCATGAATTAATGCACCGTTTTTGTAGCTTAGCATTTCCCCCAAGTTATTTGTGTTAAATTTATTTTCGTGGCTCCCGGTACAAAAAAATAAAATGCGATAGTTTATTTACAAACTTAAATGGCTAAACTTTGTTATAATAATTGTTATCTACTAATGTTGCTTTTTTGTAACTGAACTGTTATATTGATGTAAGTACCTTTTTTAACTGCAATTTTATTTTAATAACAAATTCTAAATATGCATATTTCGCAAAAGTTCCATATAAAATGACGTACAAGAAATGGCTACAAAATTTTCTTGTGTCAAATTTCCTTAAAGCAGTACGCAGTTCTTTAGAAATTTGCTACGCTTTCTAGTACGGGGTTCTTAAGTTTTTTTGTAAAAAAGAGCACAAGGCAACCTATGTTTGCAACAGAAATATATGCCTGTTCCACTATTTCTTGAGGAAAGATTGAGGCCAGTGTTACCAAACATGGACTTTTCCTTCCAAAACTGGTAGTTTTTTTTCCATTTGGTAGGTTGGTAGGCTTGATTGGATTTTGGTGGGACAATGAGTAATAGTTATTTGCGAAAAATAGAAAATATGTACGTATCTCCAAACATTTTAGCAACCTTTTTTACACAAATATTTCACCGGTGCGTTCGTATAATGGCGGCCACAAACATGTAAATATACCTGATTCCTAAGTACAAACGTATACCTTATTATTGCCAATATGCAATGCGGACATCCATATATCGTCTCCTAAGGGTGAAAAGGTGCCAAGTCCGTTTTTTTGAAATTTTTCAGGAGAGACGAAAAATCGATGTAGTTTCGTATTACCTGTCATTCTGCATTAAAAACTAAACTTTGAAAAAAATGGACTTGGCACCTTTTCACCTTTAGGTAGCGATATAATTTATGGCGTACTTGGACCAAGATTCCAGAAAAGTCTGCCAATGGGCTCGTACTCAATCATTTTTCAAGCGGAGGTCTTCCCAATCGAAGTCTGTGTTCGCGAATGTCATCGTAGAAGGCAAATAAGGCCAGAATAAATATTATGTCGGACATTCAGGCAGCGTTAAAGGCCTAAGAGTCTTTTAAAACGGCATCAAGGCTTGTAAACTCTTGAACCACCTGCGAGCCCACAATAGCGTCATGCTCAGTGATCGGACTTCTACCACATTGTGGTAGATCTGCCACTTTTTTGAGCATCTACCACATCTACCACTCAAGGTCTGAAATCTACCACATATTCGCGTTTTTAAGTAGTTTTATTTTTGCTTGACATAAGTAAATTTGTTTTTGTTATTTTTGGCCTTATAACAATTATATTCAACAAGTTTTATTGAGCTCGAGGCCGTTTTTTTATGAAAATTTATTGTGGAAAAGCAACAATAATTTGAAAAAATGGTAGAAGTGGTAGCTATTTCGGAAATCACTACATTTCCTCATCAGACTTCTTTCAGTAGGATTCGAACCGACGATCCCACTGACTCAGCCAGTTGCCTATGCACCGTGCTAAGTACGCCTTGTAAATTATCGTTTGCTTTTTTCCACTATTTTCATTTTTGTTATGCCAACACAATCAAGCGCAGCTGTTCCGCTGCAATTCACTTGATCATGTGGTTGTTGGTATTGTTGGTTTTCGCTAATAATTATCTTTTTAGATAAGTAAACAAATCCGAATGGGAGGATAAAATAAACTGTAAAATAGTAAATTTTCTCAGTAATAAATTTTTCGACAGGAAACGCGGTTTTATTGTGTTAAATTGCAAAATATATGATTTATAAAAAGAATTAATAGCGAAAATGTTAAAAAACGGCGATTTTTGTGAAAGTATTAGCAAATTTAAGTGCATGAAAGGTTTCTGAGGCGTTGTTTACTTTTACTTGAAAATTTTAAAAATCGGCAAATCCCAATTAGCTGTTTCTGGAACGTGCCACATTTGTTCGCTACTTCGTGATATGATAAAAAGAAAAGCTGGCAGCACTCCGCAAGGGTGCAGAAATCTCTTAAAATATGTTCGAAAAATATCTTAATATGGAAGGAACTGCCTTACATTGTCAAGGAAAATAATTTCCAAAACGCAACGCAATTTTTAGCAACTTCAATCTTGCACTTTATTATGCTAAAATAAAATTTTTTTTAGAGTCTAATTAAAAAGTTTGCCATTTGGGTGAAACATAGCAGAATTTTTTAATTTTTGTACAAAGTTTGATCCAAACCCAAAGATCTACCACATTTTTTTTTAGATCTACCACATTTCTTTCCAGATTCAACCACACAGAATTTTTTTAAAGTCCGATCACTGGTCCCGCTGTGGAGGGTTCATGGACATGAAGGGTTTCAAGGCAACGAAAGGGCTGACTGTCTCGCAAAGCGTGAAGCTCAAATGCGTTTGCATGGTCCCTAGCCTTTCTGCGGTACAGCTAAAGGATATACTGCAGACCTACTTAGGAGCTAACTGGGAATAATCTCAAATTGCTGCCCACTGGCGGAAGTCAAAAGGAATAAGACAATCAAAGATATGCATAACTCTTTCCAGCAGGAACTCCGAAAGACACCTTGAACTTAGAACTCTTACTGGCAACCTGACAGCACACTGAAAGTTAACATACGGTTTTAATTAAATGGGTCTGTAGAGATGGACTGTAGGATTTGTCGGCAGGTGAAAGAAACCCCAAAGGCACACCCTATGTGCCTGTCGACGAAGCGTGAATCGTAGATTTATACACTTTGGAGAACGATTGCTTTCTCCATCCTAAATTTGGAACATGGCCTCATCCAAAGTGCTGAGCTTTTTAAATATCCTAAGGTTGGAGTGATTACAATTTGGATTTAGCACAATATAATCTTCTTAGGTTGTAGCGCGGGTATCTTCGACATAATAATAATAATATCATCACTAGACACGAATAAAGAGCTCGGAAAAACTCTTTGGGGAGTTCTGGGGAATACTGTTGCACTCGAAAATATAGTTGACCGCGGACATAAGTTTATGGGTCTTTCTTCGCTGTCAAAGAGGTTAACGCGGCTTTATTTGCCGTCACCTATGTTAAGAGTATTTCTTCGCCGAAATTCTTTTTACGTTATACGCAGTTAATTTGTTTTTAATAAGTTATGTTTTAGTTTTACTAAATGTTATGTTAACTATGTTTTTAAAAAATTTGACATTGAAAACAAATATTAAAACTCAAAAAAATGTTTGGCAGGTTTTGGTTGGTTATGGTACGAAATAATGGCAACTTTTTTCTTGTCCATTTATTTGAGAGTTGCCTACTGGCCTTTAGTTGTAAAGGGCAAGGAAAAAGCGCTTATTCCTGATAATATGAAAGTTTTAAACGTTCCATATTTAAATTGGGCACCACTTGTATCAACTCACGTCCAGCGCACGTTTAGTACATTCAAGACTTATTTCGCGAAAATCGAATGAAAATGCTGCCAGAAAAATTTAAAATGCATCTTGTGGTTCAGCGTAGGGATGTTTCGAATGTCATATGTGCGACTGCGAATGTTAGGAATAACATTACAAAAGCTATATTCAACTTAAGTCATCGTTTTTATTACTTAAAAATTTTGTAAATTATTAGCATATATGTAATATTTCTATATTGCCAATATCTGCAAACATTACATTACAGACATATAATAAAAGAAAACGAAAACATAGTAATCGTATGTAAAAAATGACACTTGAAATTAAAGCAAATCGCAGTCGCGGTACCTTAAAGGAAAATAACAGAGAATTTTGAGTTTTCATTTAATTTCATGAATTTTATCATGATAGAAACATTACAAGGTAAATTCATTCTCCCAATTCGTCGGCCATGATTTTTTTTCTGACGTTTGCCAACATTTTAAAATCATATAAAATTGAAAGTAAAAAAATTAAATTGTTCACAATTGTTGTAGTTTGAGATTGAAATTGAGAATGCGTGTGTGAGTTTGAGTTTTGAATTTTAAAATTATATTGTTGGCAAACGTCAGACTACCTCTCAATGGTTTTACCTTGTTATTGTAATGAAACACGAGAATGCCGATAGTGGAATGACAAGTTTATTTAGCTCTTATATGCGTTGACAGGTGTCACTGTGTACAAGCTGTGTTTAAAATTTTGTTACTTCATTTAACACCCCCACTTAACAAAATACAATCATAAGTTTATTCTATTGTAACTTAGAATAATTTATAGAGGCCATACATTTCCATAAACTTATAATGTTTTACAGAGTTCAATCCTTTTGGAAGTAAATCCGCAGGCATATCTGCAGTTGGCATATATTCAATCCTAATGATTCCATCGGAAATCTTTTCTCTACAAAAATGAAAACGTACATCAATATGTTTTGATCTCTTATGAAACACGGGATTGGTGCATAGCTTTTGTGCAGATTGGTTATCATTAAAAATAGGTATAGTGTAAAATTCGTTAGTGATCTCGTGCTGCAAATTTCTTAAATATATGGCCTCCTTACAACAATCAGTTATGCCCATATATTCGGCTTCTGTACTGGATAAAGCAACAGTATATTGCTTTTTAGTTTCTCACGAAACTGCACAACCAGATAACTTAAAGAAATACCCGGTATAAGAACCTCTGGATTTTTACCCTTTCGGGGTGCTCACCAGATGCGTCTCCAATTGCCAAATGAGCCAACCTTCAAATCTCAGAGGCGAATTCCTGTAAAGTCTCGTTGGATTTCTGGCAGCGATTCTCCAGCTCCATCTGGTAAATCTGTCTCCTATGCTCGCTACCGTAACGTGTCTCTACAGCACTCATCAACGCATCGTAACTGTTCCTTTCACAGTCGGGAATAGTCTGCAAGATTTCTGCCGCAGGTCCTTTCAATGCAACGAATAGTGCAGCGNAGTTTATCCTTCGGGATTTATTTAACAATCCCACTTCTGACACCAATTGTTACGATTATCCTCGAAACCTTGAGGGATTTCCCAAATATACTCGGGCTCGTATCGCTGGATTGTTAAATAAATGCTAACGATGACCAAATTGTAGTACAATTAACTTTATTGTACAACAAACAATTTACAATATTCGCTAATACAGTAAAAACACTTTACAATACTTGTTAAAGCAACAACAACGCTTTACTAAACTTTTTAACACAATTCAACTTATAGCTTGCTTACTCGCAACTCACTTCTCTGCTCACTCTACTTGTAGCTTGTTTACTTGTAACTGTCCAACTCCGCTGTGTCGTGGCTCTTATATACCTGCGCTCGTACGCATGGCTACTCTCGAACGTTTTGAAGTTCATTGCTCATTCTCTTTCTCTCGCTGTTCGCAGTGTTCATCCAACTTGACGTTTCTCTTTATGGAACATTCTACGTCGTTCTTCGAACATTCTGCCTATTTCTCGTTGTTCGCTAAATGTTGCCGCAGTATTCGGCACAGTTTGTTTTGTTTCCTAAGTGAGGAAACTTTAATTGACAGCAGCAACAAATTAATACATACACAAACAAATTTTTGGTTATGAATTGTTTTATTCAAGTTTTTGTATTGAATTTTTGGTTTAAAATGTATTTTTTTCTTTTTCAGTCGGGTTTTTTGCACATTATCTTTTCCGTGAGAATTGATCGAAATAGATACGGATCTGAATAAGCGACTGGAACACGGCTCTTTGTCGAAAGCATACGATTTCGAACTCGCGTAAATGTACATTTGCTAAATGCGATAGCATGAACACTCTTCGACAAAATATGTTCGAAAGCGCTAAATATTGCATTTTAAATGCAGCAAAAACGCTGCATTAGGCTATCTGCGCACTTGTCGTCTAATCACACAAAATACATTTCAGGAAAAGAAAAAAGAGATATTACTGAAAAATTATGTCTAGAATTGTTGCAGCACAGTCCATATTTTAAAAATTGCAGGTTTTTGTAAATATTTCGCGAAAATATCAACCAGAAAATACCTGCTTCAAGTAAATTTTTAGACGCCAAATGAATTGAAATATCACGACCGAGTGTGCGAAAATGTAGTCCTCATGTAATCGT